TTATTCTGAAATTTTCAGAAAGTGTGAAGTCTGTGGTAGATGAAAGCAAAGCTCTCCCAGCAACCCCGCTGTCGGCTCAGGGTTTTAAACACTCCAGCTCCTCAAAGGGCTCGTCCAGGGCCGTCTCGGAGGTTGCACGTAGCTTTTTGGGCCTGTGGAAGCACATTTTAATCTCACAGGCTTTGTGTGGCCAAAAAATAGCTCAAAAGAAGTTCCAGTCTCATCTCATTGACCTGAAATCCCTGCAGATGTCAGAAAAAAATATGAAAGATGATACATGGATTTCATGCACGGCTTTTGTGGTGAAATAAACACTTGGTTTGTATCTGCTTCATCTTGAGATCACTAGGTGTGGCTGGATAGTTGATAGATAAGCTTTTAAGCTGTCAGGACATGCTGGGCAGTAATAAAAGTAGCACGATTCAAGAAAAATGGTACCCTCAGCAGCTTTGGGGAACCGCCAGCACTTGAGTCGGATGTGGGAAGCTCTGCAGTCCGCATGGGCAGTAGTTGTAACACGGTCTGAGAATCGCCGCTGTGAAGCTTCAGGCTGGAAGAGATTGAGGCAGGATTCCCTGGGAGACCTGTTAGTCATAAACAGATGAACAAATGCCCAGCTACAGTGTTTGTTTACTGTCAGAAATCTTCTAAAGCTGTCTGGACAGAGTACCCTTTGGCATGCCGAGGCGCCTGGCTTTGTTTGCCCTCTCCGCTTTGGCAGTGGCTTTGTCAGTTGCAATATTCGAGCACATTGCTCGTTTCCAAGGCAGTGGTAAAGATCAAACCTCCTCATCCAGGCAAGTTACGAGAACAGCACTTTAAGGTTTTCCTTTGGTATTTTAGTCCAGTCTCTGTGGAGCTTTTATTCCTGTAAAGTAACAAATGTCACTTGTTTTTGAAAAACAATGTCATTAGTTCATTGGAGATGGATCTCTAATGGGCTGGGCTCATCTGAACATCTTAGCAAAGTCTGTGAGAAGAGAGATGCAAAGATAAGGCCTGTCTTACAGGAGGGTCACGGCTTCCACGTGGAGCACATCTACACTTTGCAGGTTCTGTGCCCAAAACCAGCAGGGAAAGGTCAGACAACCAATGCTTACACAGGCAAATGTGCTAAAAACACCATAATAAAGCACATGGGAATCAAGTTGTGTTCAGATTTTTGGGGTAGGTGATGCTTTTGTGCAGGACACTTGAAAAAGCTTTTGAAAAACACTTATCCATACCTAAGCACATCAGCTAAGGAGGTAAGATAACTCTTGGGGAGTTGATTTAACAATAAAATAACATTGGGGTAGCAGAAAAGACCGCTCATACTGAGAGTGCAGAGCCTTGGTGGTTGGGAAATCTGTTCCTTTGTGTCCCTGTGCCACTCAGGTACTCCACAAATGCATGTACCTCTACTCTAAATGTTTCCCACAGCTCCGATATTATTTTCCTACATCACAGGCAGGCTGCAAGCATTAATTCATGGTTGTTTCTTTCAGACAAACAGAAATGGGGGAGGAACTCCATAGATTGCCTGTAATTATGTGGCATACGGCTCCCCTGGGAAACGCTTGCTGCTGCGTGCAGCATTGCTGATGGAACATGCATTGCAAAACCCAAACCGAGCACTATTGCCAGTTCTGTACATTTGAAAGCCAAGAGTCCGGCTTTGGAAATGATGATAGCTTAGAAAAAATAAATTAAAAGGTCTTTGGATTAGCATGTTCTTCCTGCATTTAATGAAACTTCCTAGTATGCAGTGATGATGTTTACTCTGTGTTGTGTAACTGTGAGAGTTAGAGATGATTTTTTTTAATGAAGGCTAAGATGCCTGCAAATTGTCATGCCCTTCTAGGTAGTAGGTACTTTGAGAAACAAACCACCCATCTTACAACTCAGGCTGAAGCTGCAGGCAGGAACAGCCAGTTTGGGAATATTCTAGCACAGTGGATGAAGCTTTCTTTTGCCAGTTGACTGTAGGGTTAAAGATACATGAGGCTCCAAAGCTAAATCCCTGTTAGAGCTTTGACAACATTGATCATATGGAAGAAGCTTTAAAGTCTCTATTGCGGTTCCATGTGTTGTTGAGTCCAGAAGCAGATCAGCAGACACTGAAATAGCCAGAAAAGCAAAAAGATTCAGTGAGGATATTCATTTTATAGGGGTACCTAATTTCTTAATGTTTGCAACTCTGGTTAATTATATCCTAATTATATAGTGCCCTCAATGCTTTGTGGTTGCAAGGACTTAATAAATGTGATTGTTATCAGAAGTTTAACAAATAACTTCAGACTTTACCCCCAGGAAAAAAATGTGTTTCTGTATCCCAGCTTAATAAATTAAGGTAATGCATTTGTGGCTGGATTTTTATTATCCATATCTGTATCTGTACATCTCATCTGGCTTCAATATCACCGAACTGTAGAGATGATCAAAAGCAAAATGAGAATGCTGAAGCTTGGGGCTCGCTTGAAATATTGTCTTTCCAGGCCGATATTTTTCCAGTCATTATGCCAGCACTTTCAGGTCTGCGTCGTCTATTTAAATTGTCATCTCATCTAAGTGCAAATCTTGGCCCAAGCCAAAGCCATCTGTTGTTGGGTAATAGCTGTGATTTATTTTGCCTCTGGTTGATGTTCATGCTCATGGGCCAGATGCTGACTTGTAGGATTTGCTTTTATTCATTTTCAGTTTTATGCCATGTGTTAATATCACAAACGGTGTTTTAATTTTGGATATTTTTGTCTAGTGTTTAAAATTAGGGATGAGTAATAGCGTCACATTCCCCTGAATGCACGTGGGATGGCACATGGGATGCGATTCAGCTTACTTCGGAATAAGATAGGACAGGACCAAATGTTTTACATGTTAGAAATGCATTTGCACTATGTTTCTAAATGTCTCATTTCTTTCTAATCACTTTACACTCATTTATGTTGCATACAAATAATTAGGTATTATTTTCAGTAAAACTTGTGGACTATTTGAAGTCTTCTGGACTTAAAAAATGTTATGGGTAGCCAAACTGTAGGCGAAGTACTTATGATATTCTGCATCGTACCTTACAAGTTAGGACCGGCTGTCAGAGGAACGGTCCTGTTTAGTAAAGATAAAGGTGATAGGGATCCTCATTTTGTTGCTATCTAGTCGTTTGGTAACTTTGTCGTGACATCGCTGTTTATTTCTGTAAAGTGGCTCTGACTGTAAAGCCTGTGTGTTGTTTATTAATAGATTTTATACATACAGTAAATGAAGGTGCCATTAGAAACAAAAGTAAGCCGTGTCAATTAATTTACTGATTTTGAGATATGTTAGCAGAAAATAGTAGCAACTTCTAATAATTCCTCTGTACGGTACTTGTTCTTTTTAATGCTCTCAGAAGCATTAAAAAAATAAAATAAAAAAGACAAGGATGACCATTTTAAATATAAAAATAAAAAATAGTCCTCAAATCGTGACTTTGCCACAAGCTGCACTTCTGATGGGCATCTGACCTTCAGGCTGTTCCCTTGAGATGTGGGCCTCATCGAATTTCAGAGCAGTTTTTCAGGGAAAAAACTTAAGTTCGTTGAAAAAAAGTTCGTTGTCTTACTGAATGTTGTCTTAATCTCAGTGGTTCAGGAATGAGATGGGAATTACACATGTAGCCTGAGAACGGTGCTGGAGTGGCTTTATAATTTTGGTACCAAGATGGTTTTAATTATATTCATTTATTGAGGTCGTTTTTTTTTTTTTTCTTGTCGTCAGTCTTTTTTTTTTTTTTTGTGGGGAAAAGCAGTGATATTTCTGCAATATCTACAGAATATCTTGAGATATTTAACACCTAACTGTGTGTGTAACTCAGTACCCTGAATCTTAGACATAATAATTGAGTGATTAGATACTAAAATGGGAAAAATATTCTCCTGAAATTAAGGAATTAACAAGTGTGCCCTGGAGGAAGTATAATTCAGGCTACCAAAACCTTGTCCAGAAGCATAAGGCGTTTGTGTGCCTGTTCTTAGCCTTACCCAGGGAGCTGAAGAGCTGCTTGTAAGGTGTCTGAGTGCCAGTTTCCTAAAATACCTTGGGAGTTTTACAATTGGGAAAGCACGAAATAAGATCAAAGTTCCAAACTTCCTTCTGCTTTTTACCTATGTGAGATAGATGCGTGGTGGCACCTGCTGGCTGGGTTCTTCTCAGTGACACGGGCTGAATTCGGAGCTGTTGGGGCTGCGAGGGACAAACACGTGGGAAAATAAACCCTTGAATTCATTCTCTGGAGCCTGGGAAAGGCTCTCTTTTCCCAGACGACAGGCTGAGCGATACGAGTTCAGTAACAGCTAGCAAGAAAACTGAGGAAAGGCGGCATTTTTCCTGGCAGGTCAGGTCCACGTCTGGAGCTTCTCCTGCAGACACAGCTCCTGCTGCTGAGAACCCGGGGTGGTTTGAACCCTCCTGTCCTACGGCAGCACCGAGCCACCTCCCAGCTGAAATAAACTCCTAAGGCATAGCTTTGTCATCAGGCAACCTTGGTAGGTTTTGTCAGCAGAGCCCGTATTTCACACCCCATCACAGCCCTAACTGATAGAGCCCTGCTGCAAGAGGCATGTGGCATGAGCTTTGCCATAGATACAGCAAGACGATATTTATATAGAAAGCAGACAGCACTGCCAGTAACGGCTCCAGTTCAGCAAAGCCCTTAACCACATGTTTAAATATCATTGAAGTCAAGTTCAATTACTTTAATCATATACATAAGTACTCTGTTGAACTAGGGCCTAATAGGAGTTTCCATCTCTCTCCACATGATCAAGGCCTTTTCATATTCTGCTGCATGCGATAGGGATTTCTCCTTGGTTGCACAGCGTGAGCAACTGCTGTGACTTTTGGAAGACTCTCTCAACAATTTGAAATTGCTAAGCTGTCATAAATACTTTTATGTGGAATGCCTGTAACACAGAATGGAAAGGAATTTTCCCAGCTCTGTGCTTCCAGGGTAGATTTAACACATCTTTTCCCCTGTTTTTCAGGACCACCTGTTATTGCCAGCCACCACACACAACAAGACCAGAAGACCAAAGATGTCTATAGTGTTGCCAGCTGTAAACATCAATGGTAAGTGCAAAACATGAAAGAGACTGATAGGAGAATAATTTCAAAGAGATGCCTGACTTGTGTATGGAAACCAAGCTTAGACTAAGCGGCCGTTGTTGCAGCTTTGGAAAAGATGTCAAACTGGTAGTTGACAAAGTTCTCCCTGGAAAAGGGATACTGGCACATCATCCGTGCCTGGCATCCCAGACTGTCACAAGAGGCATCGTGCATAGAAAACAGCTTTGTACTAAAGGCACAGGCTTGTTAGTGAAAAGAAATGATCTTGGCCTCCGTTTTAGTCCCACGTGAGAGATATGACTTGAACTGTACAAATGTACCATTAATTCATGTGATGAGGAGCTGCCAAGTTAAGACAGTGTCACTGTCACAGTCATCAAATGCAGCAGGAACCTTGTGACAGTACAAACTTTGCTTACTGAGTCTCTATACACTGCAATGCCTTTGTAATACATGCTTTACAGTACAAGTGAATCATAAACCCAAATGTTTTTGTTAAATTCAAGCGGGCCAAAAACATTGTCTGATGACATAAATTTCCATAAACAAACAAACACATCAGTTCGGGCTTGCAACATCTTAATAATTATGTTTTCCCATGCACTACAGTATGGTAAGTCTAGAGTGATAATATATAACCAGCTGTCTTAAGGAAATTTTTATTAGATGTATCAGAATTATTTTTGGCATTCCTCAGTCTGAAACTCCCTTTTCATGTCTGTTACAAAAATCCTTTTCTGGCTGAGCTGAATTATCACATGCAAATGTGAACTTTATCACTTGGAGAATAAACCCTATTTCTAATTTACAAAGTATTTATTCTTAAAATGCTATTGAGTCTGAAGTGGGATAGCTGTTCAGTTATTGGAGTGAATATGATTTGGAAAATGCACATCAGAGTCCAGTGATAAATCGTACCCTTTATTAAGAATGAAACATTGTGAAATTGTAGTTACTGGAGTTTTTTGGGATTTTTCTACAGAACATCGGTATAATCCAGGAAATAAAAAATATCCTGGGACTTGGTAGAGGTGTTGAAATGGATCAGACACGAGGACAGCAATTACGTCAACAATGGCATCAAACACTGCTTCCTCTGTGACACTCGGCCGGGTGTTAGGAAGAAAATTACAAGATACATAAGAGGCAGTGGGTACCTTGGCATAATGTTTAGTGTGGTAATTAGTAGATTGCTGATAGGAGACTATTCCCTGAAAACTTCTGCCTGGAGACAAACCTGTTCCTCTCCTTTGAGAACATTGCTCCTCCACCCTGTCCTGCCTCTGCGGGGACTGAGCGTGTCCTGAAGAGGCATCTGGAAGTTTGCTGACAGTGAAGCTTTTCTCCAAGCTGTCTGCTCTGCTTTTAAGCCCACCTTAATTCTTTGTCCACCTGCAGAGAATTGGCTGCTGGAAAAGGCTGGGTCTCCCTGCACGGAACTGTCAAAGCTTTGAGTGAAAGAGCTCCTGCCTTTCCTCATGCCTCAGACAGGTCTTTGTGGAAGAAGGGAAACCCTTTTCACTGCCACTGGCAGAGGAGCTGAAGGGAGTACAAGCGGAATGGTCTTTGCTTTGAATCTTTTTCAGAACTACTTCACTTGCTTTCTTCGACAGGATCTTAATTTTATCTGAGTACTAACGTTTACCCCTGACACTTCACAAACATGAAACAGCTTTACAGTTCATTAGAGGATGTTTTGAACAACTTGGACGGTCTTTTACCAGCAGGGCTGTCATCCTTTTCTGATTGTGCTTTGATCTCTTGAGTGCCCTCTGAGCTCTGCTGGAGACTCTTGAGCTCACTGAGCAGCTCCCAGCAGCAGCAATGGGGAGAGAACAAGTGCGGGCAGAGATCGGGAAATGAAACGAGGTGTCAGCCACTGTCTTGTGTGACTCAACGTGGAGGTTAGTGACATAGCTCTGCAAGGTTTATTTCACTCTTTTTCACCCGTGTACAAAACAGAATTTGGTTTGTAGTTCGAAAAGTTTTTCGTAATTCTTCTCGGGGGAAAACTTGATGTAAGTCCAGCAGCGCTAGCGCTTTTCAGCTGATGGCAGATCTCGAAAGAAAACTTCCTAGTAGACGTGTGTGTGTGTGTGTGTTCAGTACAATGGAAGTTGTAGCTGGAATATTTAAGAGAATATTGTACAAAGCACTCCACTGAGGGCGTGTGTGCCGGTGCCTGAAAGTGTGTTAACTCTGAAATATATTTAAGTATTAAGGTGTTGCTTTTCTTTTTCTTTTTCTTTTTTTTTTAGTAGACAACAATTGTGTTGGTGCATGTTAATCCCTCCTCTCTCACCGATTGGTTTCTCCCCACCCTGTTCCAGCCTCCCTTCCGTGCTCACCAGGCCACTCCTGCAATTCACAGCCAGTGCTTGCTATCAGCTTCTGCGTTGCTGCCTCCCCAGCTGCTCTCATTGTGCTTTACCCTTGTCCCACTTCCCTGCTGGCTGCTGTCACTCAGCCCAACTCTCCCCTCAGTCCCTGCAGCCAGCTGAGCCCACGTCTTGACCTCCCTCTGCCCAACTACGACGCCCCAGCATTTCTGGACACAAGTAGTAGTCAAAAACAATCTTCCTGATGGGACCTAAGTAACCCGGGCTTGATAAGCCTGGAGGGAAGAAAAGCAGAGTTGTGTAGCCCCAGTCCCACCGTGCGTGGTTCTGGGAGTACCACTGGTATGACTTTGCTGAGAAGTTATTCCAAGAAGAAATATCTGACAGTTTCTCATGGGAATGAAAGCCAACTGCAATTTACAGTTAAACTTCAGCTTTTGTTTTTAAGCAAGTCATGTTTGTTATGCTGGATTGCAGCTATTATTTTAGAAATCTAACTATGCACTTGAGACCAGTTAAGTCTCCAGTAGATTTCATTCCTAAATTTGCTTTTATTGTAATTCAGAGTCGCGTTGGCTCATTACACCAGTTCCAAATTGACATATAGGCGGTGCCTTGCTTGAAGTTTAAATGGAAACATTTGCCATTAGTCTTGTATTTATTTAACTGCTGTAAAAAATGCAGTGGGTTATAACATGGGTCTTTGGATCAAAATAACCTATAGAGAGCAGCACAGCTAAGCCACTCTTCCGACCCCAAGCACGGGCCTTTTGTCTCTGCAGGACGTCCGCAGCTCTGCAGCGCAGCGCACACTACCAGTAGTCCTCTCCATGCAGCGTGCAAAAGAGAGAACATCTGTACAGCCACTCCTTGTAGGAGACAGCAGTCAGAATTCAGCTGAAGAAGACACTTTGGTTAATGTATTTTTCCCCAGGCAAACACTGGGGTTGCAGATGTTGGAAGAAGCAGAGCTAGTGCCTTGGACTTTCTGCTAGTTACAAACACAAGTGTTGTTAGTGCCAGCATCAGACCATTTACCACGTGGAAACCAACCAGCGGAGTACTAAGCTGCAGATTTCCTGTTGATTTCACGTAAGGGCTAACGTACGGTCTTCACATCATGAAGATTTGGGATCCTTCGTGGTCTGGAGGTGAAGGCTGCACATCCTCTTCCTAGAACCCCCTGGATATCCTGTACTGTGTCAGCGTGTCCTTTGGCATTAGTCTCTCCCCTTTCCCTTGCTCCCAATACATGAGTGTAGAAGTCAGGGCCAGCGGTTGTTTACATGGAGGCTGATTCATGGGGATCAGTTCAGCTGCTGGTGCGTGGAATAAGTTACCAGAGTTGGTTACTGAGTCCTGAGCATCTGTCGATCCAAGAGAGAGCTGCTGCGAAGAGAGCATTAACAGCAAGGCTGTTGAAAACAGGGGAGTTTATCAGTTGCCTAGCAATAAGCAAGTACATGTCCAGCCAGCAGACAAGTTCCTCACCTTATTTTCTGAGAACTGACAGCCATGCACAGAGTTTTTTGAATTTTCTGCAGATATTCTGGATAGGTCCGTGCTCTGATGTCACACAATGGGACTTGTCTTCAGCCTGCCTTTGTTATACTTGTTTGTGTGCCTGATCTTCTGTAATGTGTGTGTTCCTGGATGGAGTTAGCCTAAGAGCTGCTTTTTGTGATGAAGCACAACAGCCAAAGAGGCTCTTAGAGGTAAAAATCTACCGAGCGGAATGGAGAGCTTTGCAAAGTCCATATGCTCGGTTGCGTTGGCCAGCTTCTGCTCACAGCTATTTCCCTCGGCCTTCCTTTCCAGCAATTCTCACCCCACTGATGTAACAGACTTCAAAAGTGCTCTGAAATAATCCACGTTTCAATTAAAATGGCTAATAACAAATACAGTGGGAAGGCTTTTTGATCAAAACCAGAGGGCTTGCTGCCATCAAGTAGCACGGATATTTGCACGCAGCTACAAAGGACGCTCTTTCAACTGACAGCCACGTGCAAAAGCCCCTTGCAGATGTCCAAGGCTGGTAGCAAACTCTGTGAAAAATCCATAAGGCAAACAGAACCCACACAGGCTGAGAAGGAAGATAAAAAACAAAATCTAGTTGGGAAATGGCAATGTTCTATAAGTTCTCATGTCTCGGGGTTAAAAAAATAGCCTCCAACTTCCTCTGCCTTCAGGGTCAAGCAAACAAAAGATGTCATTTCCCTCTTGCAGGAGAAGAAGCAGAATTCCCAGTCATTGAGCGAGGAAGGTCTAAAACAATACATTTACGAGCGGCTGACTTTCCTTTGCTGCTTTACAGTTCAGGTAGCCTTCTGTCTGTAGGTGTTGTCAGTTCCTTCTTCGTGCTTAGCAGCCAGATGTTAATCCCTGTGGCTCCCTCTCATGGTTGCTGTGCTTGGCCCCAGACTGGGAAGCTCGTGCCAGGCTAGTAGGTACAGAGGGCTCATCTCTGGGCTGCACAAGCGTGATCTGCAGAGAGCTTTCCCTTGCTGATTCTGCTTTTATGGCTGGATTTAACAGAAGGCACTGAGAAATCGCATAGCCTTATAAGCTATAGTGTATAGGAAGAGGATCTGGAAGTTGTGCGGGTAGGATTACAATCTATGAGACGAAGGTAGGGTGACTGCTAACGTTTTTTTTCAGAAGGTC